GGATAAGGCCGCGGTGGTGGTGGAGTACGAGGAGGCTCAGGAGGTATGTAAGGAGGTCCTGGTGTTGGCGGTTTTTGAGGAGGATAAGGTCGCGGTGGAGACGGTGGCTGAGGAGGCTGCGAAGGAGGATACGGTCTCGGTGGAGATGGTGGCTGCGGAGGTGGCGATGGGGGATAAGGTCTCGGCGGAGACGGCGGCTGAGGAGGCTGAGAAGGCGGATACGGCCTCGGTGGAGACGGTGGCTGAGGAGGCTGCGAAGGAGGGTACGGTCTCGGTGGAGACGGTGGCTGCGGAGGTGGCGATGGGGGATATGGCCTCGGCGGAGACGGTGGCTGAGGAGGTTGCGAAGGCGGGTACGGCCTCGGTGGAGATGGTGGCTGAGGTGGCTGTGAGGGAGGATACGGCCTCGGTGGAGATGGTGGCTGCGGAGGTGGCGATGGAGGATATGGTCTCGGCGGAGACGGTGGCTGAGGAGGCTGCGAAGGAGGGTACGGTCTCGGTGGAGACGGTGGCTGCGGAGGTGGCGATGGAGGATATGGTCTCGGCGGAGACGGTGGCTGAGGAGGCTGCGAAGGAGGATACGGCCTCGGTGGAGACGGTGGCTGAGGGGGTTGCGAAGGCGGATACGGTCTCGGTGGAGACGGTGGTTGAGGAGGCTGTGAAGGAGGATACGGTCTCGGTGGAGACGGTGGCTGAGGAGGCTGCGGTGGTGGATAAGGCCGTGGCGGTGGTTTCTTCACTGGTGGCCTAGTTGTATCTTGCGGCCTTTGAGGTGGGAATGTAAATTGTTTATCAGGCGGCGAATAATCATATCCCGTAGTCGGTATTCTTTGAGTTGGTATCCTTTGCGTCGGTATCGTTTGAGTAGGTATCCTCTGAGTTGGTCTAGTTTGAATCGGTGTCCTCTGTGTTGGTATCGTTACAGGTGGGAAGGGTTTACTAGGTGTTTGGTAGTCATACCCTGGTGTCCTCGTAGGTATCCTCTGAGTTGGTACCGTTTGAATCGGTGTCCTCTGCGTTGGTATCGTTACAGGTGGGAAGGGTTTACTAGGTGTTTGATAGTCATACCCTGGTGTCCTCGTCGGCTGCGTCACTGGCGGCCGTCCCGTCGGTCTATAATATAGAAAGTGTCTTAGTTGCACTAACTTCTATAAATCCTAATTCCTAATTCATAATCCACATGAAATGATTCTTACAATGTATAGGTGACAGGCGCACTTGTTGTAAAATGATCGACATATGGAGTTTGTGTAGGCCTTGACGTATATCTCGGGGTAGTATACGTTGGCTGCGACGGCCTATAAAAAATACACACACACACACATTACTTACACAGTACTTCCAAGAAAATAAAATCATAATCCAAGGTTTTTTAACTTACCTCGTTGTAGGATACGTGAAGATCTCATTGGGTGGTTCATAAACGTAACCCTTGCTTCCGATCGCTCGTTTGCTCTTCTCACTAGATGCTTCCGCATAGTGTGTGGAGAGCACTGCCACAACTATG